TTTTAAATAATATTTGAAATAGGTGAACTCTCAATCAAGATTTAGTAGTCTTCCCGTTATATAGAAATGGTGTTGTTTTGGCATTTATAACCAGATTTCCTTTATGGGGAAGAAGTTACATGATTGTATTTCTTAATATTTGAAATTAATACCATCAAGGGTGAACACTATTAATTATATGTTTATCTCACAGGCCATTTGATACCAATTATATTTAGAGCATCTCTTATGAGTTGAGGGACCATCTCTTTTCTCCTTTTTTCAAACTTCTTATTTCCTGCCATTGTCATCTTTGACTTATTCATATTCTTCTCTGCATATTAGATCAATGTCTGTCCTTCTCCCTCCAAAATCTCGACACTGAGATGCCATTCACAATTGTACTTCTGTTGTTCTAAAATGTTTCTTATCCTCTTCAACCCATTTGCCACTGTTCCATTATATTTCTTAATAAACAATGGCTTTTCAAACATATAGCCTTACCAAGGAGAAGTTAATTAGAAGCTAAATGAAGAAAGTTTTCCATAATCAACTTTGTTCCATGTTCAGAAAATGCCATTACATCGCGTTAAAATGTTTTCGATTACAGCATTTTTTTCTATGTTAATGTGCATCTCTAAGATAATGGGAGATGTAGTATGTAAGATCCCAGGATATTTTGGCTTTAAAATTCTTCTTCCTTGGAGAATTAGCTGTTGGGACCAGAGTTCTGTGTAAAAAACACTTGGAAATAATGTCATCTTTGGTTCCAATGTCCTACTCCATGTATTAGTATTAGTATTGTTCCAATGCTTTATTTCTGGCTTGACCTATAGTTTCAATTATTATAGATGCTAGTAGGCCACTTAGCTTAAATAAAATGTACTGTCAGTGTTATAAACATTAATGACATTTAATTCGATGGATGTGGAAGAACAGAGAAAAAAGACAATGTGAAATGAAATTGACATAACTGGATGCATCTATGAGAGCAATGGCTTTTAAACTGTGGTCTCTGGACCAGCAGCATCTGTAACACCTGGGAACTTGTTAGAAATACAGATACTCA